GCGGGAAGTCGGGGGGCATTGTCATCTCGCCGTTCCGCCTGGAGGAGCTCACCAACCGCCTGGCCTCGCTGCAGCAGGAGAACAAGGTGCTCAAGATCGAGCTGGAGACCTACAAGCTCAAGTGCAAGGCGCTGCAGGAGGAGAACCGCGACCTGCGCAAGGCCAGCGTGACCATCGTGAGTGCTGCCCCCGCGCGGGCCGGGACCTGGCGCCGCGGGGCGGGTGCCGGCCACCGCGCGTCCCTGCGCGCCTCGGGGGCCTGGGCGGGTGGGAGCTTTGGGTCTCGGCGCCCCCGGGCGCGACCACCGGGTGGGGACCCCGAGGGCGGAGAGCGAGCTGGGCTCGGCCCGGGCGCGGAGGGGGCTGGCGCCGGCAGCTGGGCCGGGCCCCCGGCTGGCAGCGGCTCGCGGTGCTGGATCTGCCGGTCAGGGGGCGGGGGAGAGTGGTGGCCGGGAATCCGGGAAGTGGAGTTTTCTGGCCGGGATCGAGCGACAAGGGCGGGTACCCGAGCTGCCGCCGCCGCCACCCCTTGTGGAAGCCTCTCCTCCTGGCCGAGGGGATGGGCGGTGTGCAGCCGGCCGAGTGCAGCGTCTGCGGCCGGCTGGGACGCGGTGGGGGCGGAAAGCCGCGCGAAGGAGCCCTGGGAGTGCTTGCTTCGCGTGTGTGTGTGGGGGGGTCCTTGCCCCTGAGCCTGGGCGGGAGAGCGGGACGCCAGTTAAGCCCCTCCCTCCCCCTCGGGGCTCCCCAGGAGGGTGAGATTAGATGTGGAGGTCGCTCTCCTGGTGTATCGCCCTGGGGCGGTGATGAGGCGAAACGTAACTAGAAAAAGTACACTGTGTGCTCTCTCGCCTCGCCTCTGCAGAAGCCCCACACAGACAGCCCTATTCAGATCCAGCAGTTTCCCAGCCTGGAGCAGAGAAGGAAATGTCAAAAATCAAGGAGCTGTACAATAGCTGAGTAGAAGGAAAAGGGATTTCTTTTTCTTTTTTTTTGCCAGGGCAGGTTTGAGGATTGCACCCTGGAAATGAGATGGGTCGAATTTAGTATGCTCTTGGCCCAGGTGAAAGTACCGTTTAGGGGAGCCGAGCATGTGTGACGTTTCCCTAGTGATAGTGCCTAGAGAACTATATGGCATTCTTGGTTTGTGCAGATAGAAGGTTTTAGACATAGTTTCACAGTGACCAGCAACCTGAACAGCAATGGATTACAGTCGAGAGATGCTTTGCAGCTTGATTTCTGGCCTGGGGAATGGAACTGGCCCGACATTCTTGGTCTCTAGGCTGTGAAGTTCTTGAAGTGCCCTTTTGATGGAAGGGGAGGAATTTGCAGAGGTAGCCGCTTCCCAGCCTCCAGCTTTCTTGGCTTGCAAAGATGACCGATTGCTGAGTGGAGTTTGAAAAGGGGGAGAAACTGTGGAGGCCGTTCACTTAGGGTTTGATTTGGTAAGTGAGGGGGTGAGTAGTAGCCTCAGATTGTGAGCCCTGCAAAGTATCAGAGCTGAAGACATACAGTTTCTGGCCTCTGGCTCCCAGGGAGCAGTCAGGCTTGTTTTTTTCTTTGGGAGGAGGGGATTTTGGGTGGAGAGATTATGAAAGGGTTATCTGTTTGGAAACTTTGACCATGTTATAAGTAGGTCTGCAGACTGTACACAAGCACGCTGGCTTTGTGGGGACAAACATGTCCTTTCCTGCGGTTCAAAGTGTGCAGAGTGGTGGCTTTCTTTCTTAGCAGGTTACTCCTCAATGAAGGGTGACAGCCAGCCAGATGGACTTGGAGTGTTCTATGGTGTTTCCAAGTGAAAACTGTTCAGATGACTGTCTCTAAGTACCAGAAGGGTCTCAGTTCTCAGTCTCTAGTATATTCAGGCAGGCTCATGGAAGTTCTTGCAGGTCCCCTTGCTCCTTCCTACTTGGCAGGCATTGTTAGGAGCTAAATGACAAATGTAGGAAAGAGTCCGTCAAGCTTTTGAGAATTTTGTGCACTGAGCTAGGGTGTAGAACCTACTGGGGTAGGTTTGGCCAGTAGGGTTTGTAATTTTAGGGGAGGATGGATGTACTCCATAAGATGGGTTTGCCAATGTTAAGGAGTCTGTTGAACAACATTGTTTCAGAGTTTGGGCTTTTGTTTTGGTTTTTTTTTTGGCAGAACCAGGGATTGATCTCAGGCCCTTGTGCTTGCCAGGGAAGCGCTTATTCCACTGAGCTGTCTCCCTGGCCCCTGTTTTAGAGTTTCTATCAAGGTTCAGGCTGACTTAAAAGGTTGCCCTTGCTGGTAAGCTGCCCTAGAAGTTTGGGACAAGGCCTAGATATTTGTTAAGTGAAGGCCTTCCTAGATTTTTACTATTTTAGTTAATTGGAAGGGAATGTAGTATGGTGTCTTGACCACGTGACTTGTCTTCCTGACTCTCCCTTAGTCCTCGAATTGTATTAACTTTCAAGAGGAAGAGCTGGAAAAGCTGCTTGTGACTATCTTTCCTTTTCCAGGCATGTTGCCTTTGAGCTGCACCCTGGAGACAGACTCCCTACTCCTTTTTTAAAAATAGGTTTTACTTTTTAGAGCAGGTTTAGGTTTACAGTTACATTGAGCACCAGTACAGAGATTGCCTGTGTGTTCCCTGCCCCATGCAGGCATGGCACCCCCATCAGTATTTGGCACCAGAGGGGGACATTTGTGGCCGTTGGAGACCCCGCGTTTGCACCTCATTGTCACCCAAAACCTGTAGTTTGTATCAGGGTGTGCTGTCGGATGCTGGGGTCTGGACACATGTCCAGTGATGTGTATTGCTGTGTTAGTTTCGCACCCTGAGGTCCTCTGTGTCCTGCTTATTTGTGGGTTCCCTTTCTCCCCCACTGTTGGAGCCCATTGGTCGTCCCGCTTGATCCAGTTTTGCCTTTTCGGGGTGTCATACAGCTGGAATGAGACAATAGTAGATAGGTTTCTTTTACTTAATATGCATTTGGAATTCCTCTTTCATATGATTTTCTTTTAGTGCTAAATAATATTTCATTGTTTAGTAATATTTCACTCAGTGTTTCATTCATTTCATTTATCCATTTACTTTCTGAAGGGCACTTTGGTTACTTTGGGGTTTTAGCAGTTAGGAGCAAAGCTGCATGCTGTACATACCCGCAGGCAGGGTTTTGTGTGAAAAAATTTCCTCTCACTTGGGTAAATACGTAGAATCATGGTTGCTGGATCATATGGCAAGAATATATCTAGGTTTTTTTTTCCATAATTTTATTTATATCTAGTTTTGTAAGAAATTGCTGGACTGTTTTTCAGAGTGGCCGTACCTTTGCAGTCCCGCCAGCACTTAAAGTTGCTCTTGCTCCACGCCCTTGCCTCCGCTTCTTGTTGGCAGTGTTCTGGGTTTGGGGCCTGCTCGTAGGCATTTGAGGGTAGCTCACTGTTGCCTGTGGAACAGGGGTGGTGAACCTGTGGCACGTGTTCTGTGCTGGGCTGTTCATGTCACTGAAAGCTCCAAAAGGTTCGCCATCTCTGCAGTGGAAATTGTGCTCAGCGTTCTCTTGTGGTAGGTAAGTGCGGCTGCTGGTCAAGCCTCCCACTTCATAGAGAGCTGGTCTACCTTTTTTTTTTTTTTTTTTTTGGTGGAACCAGGGATGAACTCAGGCCCTTGTGCTTGCCAGGTAAGCGCTTATTCTACTGAGCCATCTCCCTGGCCCCCAACCTAGCTGTCTCTTTCTGATTACAGAATTAATCCTTCATTATAGAAGCTGAGGGAAATACAGAAGTTTTGAGTGTTTTCAAGCAATAGTAGAGAAACATATTGGTATGGTATAATTAAAAAACCAACTATTTTAGACATCAATGGTACAGTGATACCTTTAACCAATAAGAGTTGTCTTACAGTGTTGTGTATTTTGGATTATTTACTCTGGAAGCCGAATGCACTGGTTTCCACTTTCAAGACTTTATTTTGGCAGACTCTGAAGCTGTCAAATTGGCATTGCCCTTATAAAAAGGCATTGGATCTTTTTGCTGTGTAGAAAAACAAATCTCAGATTATTGTGGAAACACTGAGCTTTAGACACAACTTTGAGGAAAGTACTGGTTTGCAGTCAGCCTCACTGTATGTGAGGCTTCCAAAGAGGCTGGCCCTAATGTTTCTTCTGCGTTTCAAGTGTTTATACTCCTTAGGTACCTTCTGTGTGTTTCATAGAATCCATTTGAACTTAATTTAAAAACTGAAGGCTTTCAGAAGTTATGTTGGTCTGTTACTGCAAATAGTTCCCTGGAAACGGGCAGGCACTGGAGGTTTGTGAGGACCCTTGTTTAGGACCAGAGACACAAGCTGAAATAAAAATCTGTCAGTGCTTAAAAATGGGTAGGGCCCCGGGAGAGAGCTCAGAGCGCAAGGGCCTGAGTTCAATCCCTGGTTGAGCGCAAAAACAAAAAAACCAAAAAAAAAAAAAAAAAAAAAAAACAAAAAAAAAAAGGGCAGCCCTTGCCGCTTGCCCCT